CGTCGGACTTGTTTATTTTCGGAATGAGACTTTATCAAGTGTCTATATATCGGCAGATACAAATAGTACATCCGTGATCGACACGACCAATGACCCCTCGTCGATGTCTCAAAAGGGAATTCCCGGATTGAAGGCTTGATCGGTGAATGAGGTTGTACGGGAGGGGATAATGAGTGTGTACGATTAATCGATTATTTACGTGGGATTAAGAAGTAACTGGGAGAATTTTTTCACATCGAGAATTTATTTCAAGTTCCAGCGGTAATCCTCTTAATGCCGAATACCAAAAAAAAGGGAGTAAAAAGGATAAAAAAAGGAAATAGACGTTCGAAAACAGTGGCGTGTACACTATCGCACGTCTTGGGTGGCACTTGGTAAAATAGTGTGAAAGTGAGCACCCTTAAGTGTTCCATAAATGGACTATTCACCCCATCAGAGTTTACTACATTCTCCACAAAACTGTATCGACAAAGTATTTCATTTCTGCATTTGACAGTCTTTGAATCGACTCGAGTTTGAGAAAAATAAGTATTTCCGTTGATAGATGAAGTAGGAAATGGCCTGGTGAAGAGAATCGAAGGATGGGGCTTTGTCTGGTCGTGGAATCCGGCATTGGTCTTGTATCAGTGATACATACCACAAACCCCCAGCTTTTGTACGAAATACTATTATAAAATATTGCTACAAACACACCTACGCCTGACTCTGGTGGCCTGTACTACTCTCAACATAAACTTTATACTGAAAAGTCCTACTTGGCCACTGTTCAATGTCGAAGGTATTGTACGTACGATAAATACGCGAAGGATCTTTCCACCGAATCGCTCGTTTGAATTATGGATCAGTGATGGGTAAATTTTATTTTTTTTTCAAGTGCCAAGTCTTTCGGGAAATTCCAATATTCAATTGTCATAAATTCCAATAGACTGCCCATCACTGTTATCATTGTCGCTCGCATTTTTTATCACTCCGGGAAATATCATCTTGAATTAAAATCATGTCGCCGAGTTGATTCATGCGGCGGGGTGTCAAAATGCAGTTGACCCAGTGGAGATTTTTCTCGGTATTATAAACTCCATATGAATGAACTCCGGATATCAGAATCGAGTTCAATACCGCAAGTAGAACGTGAACTCGCACTAACCCACCGCGAATGGTCAACATATACATGTGAATTTTCCTTGCTCCGGGGAGATACTCCAGAAAATCATTCGCCACTGGAGGATCTCCAGTTTTCCCTCTATTTCCTCTTTTCTTGGTAGGTTGTCCTAATTTCTCCTATCTGGCGGTTTTACTTGGCACAAAATGGTCTGACGAAGGAGGTGAGGGAATCCCCGGGGAATTAGGAGATTCGCGGGAACGTTAGCATTTTACTGCGTCACTTTAATTGACGTGAGATGTTGGTAAATGATATAGTAAGAATATGGTCTTCAAGGTGTGAAAAGGGGATTATACTATTCCCAGAAGATATCAATTTTTTTTTTTTAATTCAAGATGAATATCTGAAGACTTACAGTTCAAGTTTGTGTGGAGTCCCCACAAATTTATTGTTATCACTTCTGCCGCAATTTCACCTCAATCAATATTTGTTGAAAACTCGGAAGGTCCTTCTTCGAATTTCTGGCAAATGAGTCAATCAAAATTTCAAAATTAATTTCACTCAATTGCATCCGGCAGGATGAAGTGGCATTCTCTGTCAAGAACTCTCGAAATCCCTCGTCTCCGGCGGTCCCTAGAGATGAAACATCTCAAAGAAGAAACTCACCGTACACACTTGAGCTGAGAATAGGAAATAGCGGAAATCGTCAATGCGAACTGTTGCAGGAGTGCAGGGGGGGAGGGTGGGATTTTAGAAGTGGTGAGGATCGGGAGTGGAGAATCCCGAAACGGTTGAAGTTGGGGTGCGCCGTGGGGATGATCAATACTCCCCCTAACGGTTACGACCAGAGAGACAGAGATAGAACGCTGAAATTTTGGAAATCCTCACGTAAATTGCACCGGATGAGCCATTTTTTGTCATTATTCTCGAAATAATATTCCCTCCCCCGACACCACTAACCCCACGGATATAGAATTATTATTATATCACGAGCATTACATCTTCAATTAAATCCTTCAGCGCCGAATGAATGGCACTTGTAATTCCGTAATTACAGTTGCAAACAAAAATATAACGCTC